ACAAGCTGACGGATGGATGGGTGGACGCGCGGATGAACGTAGAGATACACGGACGGAGGGATGGACGCGCGGACCTACGCACGGACGGACGGAAGCCAGAATGAACGGACGGATGAAAGCGCGGACGGACTGATGGACGCTTCGCACCATTCATCATCATTCACTTCGTGGATACGCTGCGATTTTTTTTATTGTGAGTTGTAGCGGTGTAGTTAGAGGGTGGCAGAGCGGGCCCGTGCCTCTGTCCGCCCCCCCCCCCCTATTATTATCTTTTTTGTCATAGCATACAGAGCGTTAAATGACCATTTCTAAAGGGTGCCCCCTCCCTCCGCAATCAAAGGGGTGACCCTCTCAAAAAAAAAATCTGCGTACGCCCCTCGCAAGGTCTACTCTACCTATGATCAAATCGACTGTTACGGCGTCACGTTCGGCCACTTTATCACGGAGTATGTTGTGTATGGCCTTTCTAACATCGTCGGTGGAACATCAGGGTCTTCTACTTCGGATTCAGCGCATGATGGATGACTTATTGGCTAGTTGCTTTGTTCAGAGCAAGAGTCTTCAGCCATCTGCACTATATTCGGCGTTAAAATTGTTAATCACATTACTCTGCTAATATCTTTAGCGCGTGGATGTTGGTCCCTCTTAAGCTTAGTTGTGCTTTAGGCGTTTTGATACTACCACAATATTTTATTGCTTTTTCTACCTATTTTACAATTTAGTTACACGGCCTTTCTTCTTAGAAACAATGCTAGCAGTATTCGTAGCTGTAGTAGACAGTATATAATGTTGAACATGATGAGGAAGAAGAAAGAAAGAAAAAGCTTCATCAATGAATCAATTGCACATTATTTTTGTATTGTCCCCGATACGCTATACTTAAAAAAAAAGACTTCTAGTTATTTCATTACTGAAAATAGGCGTTCGCATTGACGGTGGAAACTGCACTAAACTTTGGTGCCCCAGTTTTGGGACATTGACACAGGGACGCTTTCAATGCCGTCTGCGATTATATTCAGGCATCCAAACGTATCCCGTTGTGATCTTCAATCAAATAATTAATATATAATATCTAAAAAATTCTTAATGGTGAGGTGAAGTAAACGCAGCTGAGTGGTAATCACAACACCTGAAATCTCAAGATTTCTCAAATTGATTTTTCCTTTTTTTGTTTGCTCTCTATTTATGTGGTTTTCCTTACATTAGTCATATTTTATTACAAATTCATTTTTACACATTGTTATAATGCTCACAGAAAAAAATGCACTACGCTTTCTTGGCCAATTCCCCTGAGTGTGTGTAAGCCATGAGTCCAGGGAAACAAACAAACAGACAAGACCGCGTTTACCTTCAGCCTTCCCGCTCTTTCTCTTCTTTCTTCTGCTGATGTATTAAACCTCGGGAAATGATGTACACATTAACAGAAGTAAAATAAAATGGCAGTGTAGAAAAGGCGTCTAGGGAAGAAAACCTCCAGGTCTCAAAGTGCGTCCCTTGACGCGCCGGCGCCTTCATTGGCGCGGAACGATGCGCGGCGGCTTTTTTTGTATTTGTTTTTTTTTTTTGCGTGAGAGAAATTTGCGCTCTGCGCGGATGATTGCTCGATCGTGGTGGTGCGAGAATGACGTGACGAGAGAGAGAGACTAGGACGACGCGGGCGCGACTACCGAGCGTCAATCGCGCGACGTTCATTCATCATCGGTTCAACCCTCCGGAGAGGAGAGCCTCCGCTGTTTCGCACGACTGGACCCGCAGAATGCCGCTGCTTTGCGGCACGCCGTGGAATCGCCTCCGTCGCCGATTCGGACTCGCTGATCCATCCGGGAACTGCAGTTGTTGGAAGAGGAGGGAACTCCAGTAAAGAAAACAGGAAAGAAAAAATCATAAGTAACGAAGAAAAGAACTGGCTTTGCGGTGCGTGGTGGGCGGTTGTTTCTGCAGTTGCTCGTCGCGTTTTGTTCGGCGCGTCTGTCGTTTTCCTCGCGATATCGCCGGGCTCTATTGTGGCTCGCTGTATCCGCGATGGTCGTTGGAGAGAACATTTCCCCGCGGATACTTCTTTCTTCTTCGTCCGTTCTCATCTTTGTTGATCTTCTTCATCCCTCCGTTGCTCTCTCGCTTTCGTTACATACACCACGCGCATTGATTGCCTGTAGAGTAAAAAAGGGGGAACATGTTACGTGTGCGGAAATGGGAGCGACGCATGTATCCGGTCGCCCGGGTGTGCTCGGCAACTTTCCTTTGGTGTATCGTTGCGCCTCTTGGGGGCAAAGTGCTGCTTCCATGCAACGTTATTTGCACCGCGGCTCTGGGAAACTCCCACAGGGGTGAGAACGCGAAGAGAATGGCGACTCTTCTGCTGAGCAAATAGCGACAAAGGCCGCGCCTGACGGATGGTGTTCGCGGCTGTTCACGATATTGTTGCCCCATAGGAGTCTTGCACTGCAGCGTTGGTATTTATTTATTTATTTATTTATTTATTTATTTGTTTGTTTTATACTTTCTTGGTTGGCACTGTAGGTTCGAACGGTTACGAACGGGTCAATTAAACGCGGGAAGCTTGTTTTTCAATGAATTTAGCTTGCCGTCTTTTTTTCTCGTGCAACTGTTTTCTCCAGCTTTTAATCACTGTTCTTGTATGCGAGATTATTAATTCAATCGCTGTCCTTAGAGTTTCCTAAATATACACTAGAGGGAACCTCTGGCGCTACGGGAGCTGCAACGCACAGCGCTTCAGCGAACATGGGAATGGAAAGTAGTACGCGGATTTGTCTAATCTTCGTACTTCTGCCTCCACGTGACGTGTGTTCGTGTATAGCTTGGAGTTGTTTTTCCACGAAACGAAAATCTGCAAAAATTCAGCGGTTGCGCTTCACCGCCTTATTCTTTTAGCCTTACATCATTTCAAAGCGGGTCACGAAGTTTAAAAGGGTTGGGTCTTCCCTTCGATACAAAACCGAAACACAGCAATAGACTAAGCCACAAGTGCGGTTCGCCGCCAGCAAGTACGAAGACTAGGCAAATCCGTATACTACCCATTGTTCCCATGGTCGCTGAACGATCGCAGTGCCGGAGTCTCCTTTAGTTAATTTTAGGAAACTCTGTGTTGTTGTCTTCGTTCGTTTGTGTTTAAGTCATGTTGTAGAACCAATGACGCCTTTTTATGTGAGATGACCGTATCTTGGTTGTCACGTGGTATTCAGTTCAGACATTTGCCAATGTATAAAAGAAAAAGAAAGAATTATCATGGTCATGTTTCGTGTTCTGGTTGATACGCTATAGCATATCCATACTTTCAACACGAATGGGTTCTGCGAGAATCTTGCGTGACAGATTGTCGGCTTATAGAATCACGTTATGTTGTGTTTTATAATACACACTGAAAAGAAAACTGTTCCCGACTCGCCGTCGTGGCTACGAGAGGCGCTAACTAACACTGCCAGGTTAAATTTCATGAGCGAACCCGATGAAAGAAACCAGGGGATGACCGCCGCCGTAGCTCAGTTGGTAAAATCATCGGGTGCGTAATACCGAAAGTCGCAGATTGCATTCACTTTACTTTTATATACGTGAAGTTATATATAAACGTTTTATAAATACGCTTAATGTAAACGTGTTATATAAAAATATTAACTCTTCATATAAACGTGAAGCATTCGCTTCACGTTTATATCACAGTTATACATGCTTGTTCGAACAAATAAATGACCCCTCAGAAATTCTTTGTTCGTTTTATAATATAGTGAGACGCACTTCAAATGACGTATATGGACGGGGGAAAAGGGACTACTGGGCTTGTAAATTGGAAATGCATCTTATACAACATCAAACTGAGCGCAAAAACGACAAGGATGAAAAAAAAAAAAAAAACATCGCGATGCTGGTGTGCTATTTTGGTTTCGTCTCCGTGTCGTCTTCGCGTGCCGGGTTATTGGCGTAATGCGCTCAGTTAGTCAGCGAAAGAATCGAGGGATGCCGCATATTTTTTTCTTTCCCACGAGACACAAAACCCGTAAGCGATTGCGTCGCGCAGGAAATACCCTCGCATACATTTATTTTTTTTTCGAGCGGCCTCGTTCTCACTGGGAGCATCGCGCGGCATGAGACCCCTCGGCTTTCCGTTCATTTACGTTCAGCTCAGAACTATTTGACAGCTCCTTCGCGATCTTCCCCCTCCCGCAAAGCACGCTGCGCCGCACAACCACGATCCTCTCGATTCACACAGAGGGCTGCCCGGGGCCCTCGCCGAGACATATATTCACACCTCCGCGGTCGACCACTGTGCCGAACTACACTGCGTCTGTGGTTAAGCTCGTGGCCGCATAATTCATCGAATGCGCGAGGCCACTGTTGTCCCCTGCGCTCGCTTGCGCCTGTTCTCGCTGCTGCTCGCCGTGCTATGATCGCCAAGTGCGCGGCAGGTCAAGACTGCCCAGGCAGCGCGCCGCGCTTTTTTTGCTGCTTGTGCCGCGGTGAGCGATCGGTCCAACCATGCTGGTTTTCGTGCGCCCGAACGACGCTAGTTCGGTGCAGTACGAGGCCGATGCCAGCTGGTTGTGGCACGATGGTCGTTGTTGTCGATTTCGACGGGAGTTAACGGAGCATGCTTTTAAGTACACTGTATACACCTGCCAGACAACGTGCACGACAAAGGCGGGAAGCGAGTAACCTATCCCTATCATTTCTAGAGTTGGTAAAGCAAAATAAAGGTATACAAAAGCCGGCTGCGGCGGCCGCATTTCTAGGGAAGAAGTCCGCGTGCTTAGAATAAAGCGCGTGTTCAAAACAACCAGATGGTCGAAATTGGTGGAGCCTTCAACTATACGACGTTCCCCATTATCACATTGTGGTTTTGGGGCGCAAAACTTGAGCAATCGTTATTAATCTCTTTGAAAGGGCACTGACACAAGCTTTCGAAGCTCAGTCTACACTGTCATACAGTGCCAAACAAGTGTAAAGCTTAACAAGTGCTTATCTTTTTTTGTTTTTTCACATTACAGTGCATTCTCTCATGGCGCACCTACCGACGTCGACACCAACTTGACGTTAGGCTACCGTACTGAATCTGGTGAGTTCACGCAGCAGTCATGGTTTTGATCGTGTCAGGCACCAAAACTTCCAAAATGGACGAGGTGCGTCATCAAAACATTCAAAAGGGCTGTTGGGGCGTCACCAACGGAGCCACGTTGCGGAAAACGTCACGATAGCATGTGTGAGCAGGTGGCAAAAAACACATACCATGTTGTGACGTCAGGGTACGGTAAGAAATTAAAGTAACATTTAGAAACACACTGTAATTACTTTTTCAGGGTCCATTCGTTTTAAGCAGTACATTTTCTAGGCTCTTGGTGGCTTGGATATTGTCACAAACGGCTCCAATTTTCGGAGCATCCGCGGGCCCCATCTTCCAAGGAAGGGCGTTTTTGTGTTGGGAGACGACATCCGGCGACTATAACGACCCAGCGTGGCGCCGGCTCGTCTTCCCTGCCCCTGACTGGAAGGGGAACCGGTGGTCTCAACAAGAAAAATTATTCCCAGATGAGACGGGAGCACGTGTACGCCCCTGAGGCGGTTTGAACTGCATCGGAAGAGCAGTTGACGTATAGACAGCAACAAGTGCGGTCGTCGGTGTCGCGAGTCTCGCGTAGGCGGCGAGCACGGAGTGACCCGCGCAACGTATTGAGACGGCTGCAATTCCGGGCACCCTCGTCGTCTACCAAGCCGGCGAGACCTTCAGCGGCCCCCGTCAACTCCCCTACGTGCACCAAGGGCTGGTTTGGTCCGTATGGAACTTTTTTATTGTGACTTTTTTTGTTAAACCGTAAACTTGTTTTAACCAGCCTTTTTTTTAAATATTTGTAGTGTGCGCTGCGTCGCACGTTTAAATTCCAAAGCGCAACCATGATCATTCTGTAACTAATTTCTAGTGTCTCTCTCCTTTGATTTCCATCTTGTTGTTATTTTATTAATGTTACGCATATTTGTCTTTAGCCTGTATCTTTTGTACTGTTTTTAGCACATTTTGTTATATAGCTGTTCTTTCCTTTGCGTATCAGTGTTACTCCTCTCTGTTATTTTTCTTAACTCCTGCCTTTGCCAGTGTTCCAATTAAATGCTTGTTTATGTGTAATCGAACTCCGTGTCTGCTCTATGAGTGCGTCGGTCAGGCCCACACATCACCACACGTGCAAACCCGCACGGGTCGGCCAACCCGCAAATAAATTTGAAATGTGCCACTTCGAGGCCTTTCAGGCGTCGCAGGTCGAAGCGTAAAGTGGAAGCCTGCGAGTCTGCCGCACGTCGATGTTGGATCGGCGGGGCCTCACCCGAAGTGCGTGACATTATCTGGCGTCCGCGCGACAGGACTGGCCGACCACGTGGTGATGTCTGGGAGACTGACGTAGCTCTGAGCGTGATATGTAGACGTCCTTTTATTGTTTTGTTGGTGGACAACTGTTTTAACAATGGACGGCACGGAGTTTGATAAGCTCATTGAACAGGGCAAAGCCTTTGGCTTTGTAGGCAAGGAGTTGTATAATTTCGTTGAAAAAGAACGAAATAGACTTAAAGAGGAGCGCGATGCCGAACGCATTAGGTACAGGCAACATCTGGAATATTTGATGGAACAGGAGCGAGAAAATTCAAGGCTTAGAATTCAGAAGGAAAAAGAGCGCTTGGGACTGTGTGCCACGCAGTCGGGTCTCAGCATAGTCTCTAGAACACCCAGTAGCGCGATCGACCGTGGCCTGAATAAGCAGTCGTACCATGAGTACGTTGAAAAACTGCGCCTGAAGATTCAAAGCAGGCGGCGCGAGTTTGAGGCTTTTGATGTAATGCATAAAAGATGCAAAGAGCCCGATTGTGTAGAGCCGGCGAAGGCCGGGCAGGCCGGTAGTACTTGGGAGGCGGACAGTAGGTTCATTCCTGAACCTAAAATGTTAGCTGCTGAAAGTCCCGTTGTGGCCACAAAGGCCACTGAAGGCCTCAGTGATGGCGACGAGGCGCTGTGCCTGGAGAGTCTTGTTAACGCAGAAATGCCATCTGTAATGGACTTGGCACAGCCACCCTGTTTGTGCGTCGCCATAGCAGCTAAATGTGAAGTTCGCAGTACCTCCGGCCCGGTAGGTGAGGACCCCTGTACAGAGAGCGGGGCACAGTCGGGTGCTGACGCGCACTGCGAGCTGGGCAATGTTGGGGCAAGTAGTTCTTCCAGGTGCGAGCGGCGCAGCCCCGAGGAAGATGCTTGCATTGCTCAGCCGTCAGTCAAGCTTCCCGCAAGTCAGGGTGTCCACAAGTTAACGGAAAATCCCGACTGTATAGGCATCATAGCCGAAGAGACAAGCGAGACAAGTTCTGCTCTGCAAATGTTGCAAGCGGACTTTTCAAAAGTGAGCACTGGGCAACGTCCAAAAAGAAAAAGACGCCGCACAAACAGAAGGAAAACCAAGGCTGTAAGAAAACCCAAGCAAATGAGAGGCCCCAAACGTGACACAAAGCAACGAAAGATTCGTTTGCGCATGGTGACATTCGTGAGGCGAGCACGTCCCCATGCCCCAAACCGCCCGAAGGGTAGGGGGGTGAGGCAGGCGATTGTACCTGCTGCTCGGAGGAGCCGACCCCCACCACTCCATTCTTGTGTTCGAACAACGGAATGCATGGGGAGGGAGCGCATTATGCCTAGACGACGCGACGTGGTTGCAAGGCCTATTTCCGTAGAACGCGGTGTTGATGATGGCTTGCTGCCACGGGGTAAACTAACGGGAAACAGGCGTCCGTGTAGCGGCCGTACACGCTTTTCTCTGCCCCGTTTGCTTCGAACGGCTCCCACGAGAGCGCGACCACCTCGAGCGCGGATAAAAGTTATGTATGTGTACATAGAAACGTAAACATAACCTTCAAGGCTAATGAGATATTGTCTGAAATAATGTTCATTTCTGCCATTCGATTTTGAAACACATAAAAGGTTCAGAGATGGTAGGGGCAGATTACATGAGTTGAGTCGGCGATGAAGAGGCCTGCGCGTACTTAGGTTCAATGAAACGCAGATGATCGCGTCGCCTATAGCGGCCTTTGACATTCGCTTTATTTGGTTTTATGTTTTATTCAGGCCATAAGGCCGCATTTTTTAAGTTTTTTGCATACATGGATACTTCGTACCTTCTTCATTTCGTCTGAACCCTTTCTGTATCACTTTGATTTAGAAGTGCTCGGTATTTTTTTTTCCCCTGTGGCATTGGAAGAATTATGTGTTGTGATTATCTTGTGATCAGTGTCATGATGGCCCGAAGGGGGGCTTCGAATGCAGCTCCATCAATTCTAGCAGTGTGTGTTTCTTCGCGTTTCATGTGTGTGTCCGCGTCGTGGTGCGCGGGTTATGACATTCATCGTATGATGACCGTGAAGCGTAGTGTGTCAGATGTTCTCTGCGATGTCGTCCACATCAGTGAAATGGTGCGCGAAAAAGAAAACGCATTGGTGGACGACCGGAACACTGAAAGCTCGCGAACATTGTGCGTTTGTGATTTTCTTGAACATTACGAAGTAATATTCTTAAGAAGGGGGCTATGTCACAAACGGCTCCAATTTTCGGAGCATCCGCGGGCCCCATCTTCCAAGGAAGGGCGTTTTTGTGTTGGGAGACGACATCCGGCGACTATAACGACCCAGCGTGGCGCCGGCTCGTCTTCCCTGCCCCTGACCGGAAGGGGAACCGGTGGTCTCAACAAGAAAAATTATTCCCAGATGAGACGGGAGCACGTGTACGCCCCTGAGGCGGTTTGAACTGCATCGGAAGAGCAGTTGACGTATAGACAGCAACAAGTGCGGTCGTCGGTGTCGCGAGTCTCGCGTAGGCGGCGAGCACGGAGTGACCCGCGCAACGTATTGAGACGGCTGCAATTCCGGGCACCCTCGTCGTCTACCAAGCCGGCGAGACCTTCAGCGGCCCCCGTCAACTCCCCTACGTGCACCAAGGGCTGGTTTGGTCCGTATGGAACTTTTTTATTGTGACTTTTTTTGTTAAACCGTAAACTTGTTTTAACCAGCCTTTTTTTTAAATATTTGTAGTGTGCGCTGCGTCGCACGTTTAAATTCCAAAGCGCAACCATGATCATTCTGTAACTAATTTCTAGTGTCTCTCTCCTTTGATTTCCATCTTGTTGTTATTTTATTAATGTTACGCATATTTGTCTTTAGCCTGTATCTTTTGTACTGTTTTTAGCACATTTTGTTATATAGCTGTTCTTTCCTTTGCGTATCAGTGTTACTCCTCTCTGTTATTTTTCTTAACTCCTGCCTTTGCCAGTGTTCCAATTAAATGCTTGTTTATGTGTAATCGAACTCCGTGTCTGCTCTATGAGTGCGTCGGTCAGGCCCACACATCACCACACGTGCAAACCCGCACGGGTCGGCCAACCCGCAAATAAATTTGAAATGTGCCACTTCGAGGCCTTTCAGGCGTCGCAGGTCGAAGCGTAAAGTGGAAGCCTGCGAGTCTGCCGCACGTCGATGTTGGATCGGCGGGGCCTCACCCGAAGTGTGTGACAGATATTCATTCGATGCAAGAAAGCAAAAGAAAAACCGCCACGCAGGCCTGCGTAAATTGCGCAGCGCAGTAAAACAGCGAAAGCTGCAAGAGTGGCCTTTGAGAGCATTTGCAAAACACTCTTTGGGTAACTGCTACAAGCACACTTGCCGGGTACTCACTACGCCATTGATAATAATAATTAATAAGTAGTAGGCCGGCATTCACTATGCCATAATTCGTCATTCCCTGGAGAAGCGTGGTGTCCGTTACACACTTGCTAGAAATGTTCAATTTTTTATGCAGTGACAGGCGACGATGAAGAATTATTCCCGAAGTGGGTATGTGCCACAGTTAATAAGTGATCAAGAACAAGTCTTGGTGATGGTTTGGAGCATTGGATGACGCACTTCTTACGCAATTAGCATTGTGTGACGCCTGGTTGTTGCTTTGATGTTTTATAACGTTTTATTACTCATATTAACGCGATTCCTTTCCCGACATCAAGCCTGTCTGAGGCGAGCTTGGAAAGGCGTTGCAGGCAC